ATGTTGTTCATGTTGACCAAACTGATCTTTGGCATAGACGTTTAGGTCATATGAGTAGTCGTGGTCTTGAAATTTTGCATAAAGCGGGCTGTTTTGGCAAAGATAAATTATCTTGTGTGCCGTTTTGTGATTCTTGTGTACTTGGCAAACAACAACGTGTTAAATTTCCTGTTTCACCTTCCCCTAACCCTCTATGCGTTCGGAAATTCTTGAATATTTGCATGCCGATGTTTGGGGTCCCGCTAGTGTTCCGACACATGGCGGGAGTAGGTATTTCCGGTCTGTGATAGATAATTTTTCAAGAAAAGTCTTTATGTTTCTTTTGAAAAATAAATCTGATGTTTTCGAAACGTTTAAGACTTGATTGAAAACCAAACCGGTAAAAAGATTAAAATTCTTAGGACTGATAATGGACTTGAATTTTGCAATAATTTGTTTGATGAATTATGTGCTCAATCTGGTATTCAAAGGCATAAAACCGTGCCTTACACCCCTCAGCAAAACGGTGTTGCCGAGCGAATGAATAGAACTTTACTTGAAAGGGTGAGGTGTATGTTGTTTAGTTCGGGTCTTTCAAAAAAGTTTTGGGGTGAGGCCGTTTTAACTGCAGCTTATTTGATAAATAGATCGCCTTCCGTGCCTTTGAATGGTAAATGTCCTGAGTTTATTTGGTCTGGTAAAGAAATTGATTTTTCAAACTTGCGTGTTTTCGGTTGTGCTGCGTTTTGTCATACAAAACTTGATAAACTTGAACCTCGCTCAATGAAATGTGTTTTCTTAGGATATCCTGATGGTGTTAAAGGTTATAGATTGTGGTTTAGAAGCGTACCCGGCTTTAAGGTCGTGATAAGTCGAGATGTTGTCTTTAATGAATCTGAAATGCCATGTTTAATTGCTTCTTTGCCTGCTCCTTTACCTTTACCTGATGAATCTGAAAATGCTCCAAATACGGTGGAGCAATTGAGTGGTTTAAGTGAGTTCGATAATTTTGAAAATATGCATGCTGAAACTGAAACCGAACGTGCTGTGTTTGATAATCGACATGCTGAAATTGCTGAAAATGAACCTGTAAATGCTGAAACTGAAAATCAGCAATCTGAAAATTTCGAAAATGTCGATGTGCATGATGAATATGTGGAAAATGTGCCTGAAAATGATGCTGATTTGCATGATTATCAACTTGCTAGAGATAGGACTAGAAGGGAGCGTAAGAAACCTTCTAAGTTTGATGATTTTCACATGACTTCATATGCTTTTGGTGTTTTCGAATCTATTGATAATTGTGAGCCTAAGTGTTATGACGAAGCCTTAAAATCTGTGAATTCTTTGCAATGGATGAATGCTATGCGTGAAGAAATTAATTCGTTGCATGTGAATCATACTTGGTCGCTTGTGCCTAAACCTGATAATTGTTCCTTAGTGGATTGCAAATGGTTGTATAAGGTTAAACAAGAAAATGATTTGGTTAGGTTTAAAGCTAAACTCGTAGCAAAAGGTTTCACTCAACGTGAGGGTATTGATTATACCGAAATATTTTCTCCTGTTGTTAAATTCACCACCGTGCGTATCATGCTTGTTTTAGTTGCTCATTTTGATTGGGAATTAAAGCAAATGGATGTTAAAACTGCTTTCTTGCATGATGAATTAGATGAGAAAATATATATGAAACAACCTGTCGGTTTTGTGGATGATAAGAAATCTGATTATGTGTGTTTGTTAAAGAAATCCTTGTATGGTTTGAAACAATCTCCTAGGCAATGGAACAAGAAATTTGATATGTTCATGTTTTCTTTAAAGTTTAAGAGAAGTTCTTATGACCATTGTTTGTACTTTAAAGAAAATGCTTCTGTTCCTGTTTTTCTGCTCATATATGTTGATGACATGTTGCTGGTCGGTCCTTGCATTAAGTCTATTGAGCATGTTCAAAAATGTCTAAGTGATAAATTTGATATGAAAAACCTTGGAGATGCTAAAAGGATTCTTGGAATGAACATTATTCGTGATAGGAAAAACTCTGTGATTTTTCTTAATCAAATTTCTTATGTGGAGAAGATTTTGAGTAAATTTTCTATGTCGTCCGCAAAATCCGTTAATGTCCCTCTTGCTGCCCACTTTGTGTTAAGTAAGGATCAGTCTCCTAAGACTGATTCTGAAATTGGGTTGATGAAAAATGTGCCTTATTCAAATGCAATTGGTTCTGTGATGTATTTCATGGTTAGTACTAGGTCGGATATTGCATATGTTGTTAGTTGTTTGAGTAGGTACATGTCTAATCCGGGTATGCCTCATTGGGAAGCTCTTAAGTGGTTGTTACGTTACTTGAATGGTTCTATGCATGTCGGTCTGAAATTTTCTAAGTGTTCTGAAGGTGTTAAACTTGTTGGCTATGTTGATTCGAATTATGCTAATGATAGAGATAATAGGAAATCAACAACTTCATATGTGTTTACTTTGTGTGGCTCTTGTGTAAGTTGGAAATCACAACTACAACATATTGTTGCTTTGTCTACGACCGAATCTGAATATGTTGCTGTAACTGAGGCTTTGAAAGAAGCTGTTTGGTTGAAAGGCTTATTATGTGAAATCGATTTGCTTGAAAAAGATGTGGTTGTGTTTTCCGATAGCCAATCGGGGATTCAATTGTGTAAAAATCCTGTTTTTCATGATCGCACTAAGCATATAGACGTTAGGTTCCATTTCATACGTGATATTGTGTCTAAAGGCTTAGTTAATCTTGAAAAATTGCATCCGAGTTTAACCCTGCTGATATGGGAACTAAGTGCTTACCTGTTGAAAAATTCAGATCGTGCATGAGAACTTTGAACTTCGATTCGAGTGATTGATGTGCTGTAATTTATGTGTGCTTGTAGGTAGTGTACTATGTGTTTGCTGCCTGTTTTGATACTTGTTCTAACTTTGTGAAAGTGCAGGTGTCGTAGTAAGGCAATGATGAAAGTCCTCCGGCCCCTCAAGGTGTCCGGTATTCGGTGGTGGGCCAAATTCGGTGGAGAAATGTTGGGAATTTGGCCCAAAACTAAATCCCTATCTCAGGCCCAAGGATGCCCGGCCCAATCCCGACTGGGCCTGGCCCTCTTACACACACACACAAGTGGTAGATTAATTTGGACCCTTGGATTTAGGGATTAAATCCTAACCCTCCATTACACAATATATATATTCACTCTCCTATCATTTACCCTAATACACTCATCTCACCTCTCTCTCTTACCTGTTGCGCTACAGAAAATCTCTCTCTCTCTCTCTGTGAGGAAAAAACCGATCTATCTCTATCTCTCAATCTGTTCTTTGTGACTACCTTGTGAGAGCCACCGTGAGTGTCGTCGTGAGAGCCGTTGGAGTATAGCCGTTGTGCCGTCTTCGTCGCCTAGCTTCCCGTCGCCGGTTCAAGCCCTTGCGGGGTGCTTTCCGGCGAGCTCGTTCGTGGGAAGGCGAGGCTTTGCGACGGAGGACCGGGTGCGTGGCCGTGTGTGAGGTGCAGCCCGGGGATTGGGTCGAAGAACCGGGGCTGCCGTCCATTGACCACCACCGAGCCAGACTTACCGAGGGTGCCGGAAAAGAAGGACGATCTGAGCCGGACTTCGTGTCCATCGTCTCCAATCGGCCGGATAAAAGGGGGATTTCTTTCTTCTCTTTTATTTCTTCTTTCCAGCATTCTATACTTTGCATTTTCAGCATTTATTGTTGCTTACTGTACTAGGTTTATTGTTGTTAACCTATGTATTTTGATTGCTGGGGAATAGGTACAAATCGGGCTTGAAGTGGGGCTTAAACGGAGCTGCAAAGAGCTGCTGAGAACCAGCCCGGGAGTTCGGACAGCATACCGGGAGTCCCAGTGGTACGAGCAGCACCCGAGCAAGGACCGTGAAAGCTGCATTGCGGTCAGAGAGCAAGGATACGAGCTTCCGCTGCGTACGAGTCTATCGGTGTGATCGGGACGGCCACATAACAATTCTGTAACGGGACCGTAGCATCTCCCGAAAGGAAAAAGAGTTGGGTTATAAATGTTCAAAACGATAGTATTTATTACTCCGAATACAATCCAACAGTTTTGTTATGAAGCCTGTGTTAGTTCCATAGTGGAGCCAATTTCTATATACAACAAATAAACTATACAATATTAATAAAATTATTAGTATTTATTTGAGTAATCAAATAATATGATATGGTTTATATCGAAGTTTGACTCTACTATGGAACCAACGGTTGGCTTCATAACAAAACTGTACGATTTAAATACAACCCGAAGGCTAAAAACCCTAACAAACAACCCGAAGATTGAAAATATCTTTTTTTATTATTATTTTTTCTATTTAGTCTTTTAGTACAATTAATAAATAAAAAAAACAATTGTTATTATACAAATTTCAATAAAATTAAGAACCCATGTACTCACATATATTAAACTTTTAGCTACTCACAATCACTATTTTATTATTACACATTAAATTCCATTATTATATTTTACTCATATCTATTTCCAGTTTCAAATATATTTCACTCACTGACGGATTTTATTATCAACCCTTAATCTTATTTTTTTTTTTCAGAGAAAAATATCGGTATTCTTTTTTCGGTAGTCAGCCAGTGTATCTCGAAACATGGCCTCGACTAATCCGTTAGTCGACCCGAGTCGTACACCTGGCAATAGTGGGTGAGTCTCCCAACAAGAGTTTTCTGTATTCACAAGGATTCAAACCCGAGATGACTTAAGCGACATCAAGATGTTTACCATTTGAGTCAACTTGTTGGTAAAAAATATCGGTATCTTTTATTCATCAAGTTAATGCAAATGTATGTATGATCATCAGTTTAATTTCCTGTATCTCGTGTAAATAACAAATACAACAGGGACTTGAAGGCCACCCATTTACCTATACAAAAGCTACACAAAAGCCTCTCAACCAATTCGGAAACTCTAAAAGCCGATGGAGAAGATCATCATCTCCTTCAAAGAAATACAAACAAAAATTGAAACCAACTCACGAACCTCCTTTCCGGCTTTTCTCAATCTTCGCCCGAACTTTCTCCTCCAAAACAGACACCTCTGTATCCAGGCCGAACACCCGGTTAAGCGCGTGCATATTTTCCAATATCTCCCTCAAACCCCGCTCGTCATTACCATCACATCTCAAATGTTGCATGGGCCCATGGAGCAGCTTGTTTACGAGCCCCATGCTGAAATCGTATGCAGCCTTCTTTTGGTCCGTTGTGATCCCATCCCCGAATTTCGAAACGAACTTCTCGAGCTCAGAAGCTCGAATCCTCTCGGCGTAAGCCCGTAGCTTCTTAATAGTCGGGACCGTTTCAAGAGAGTCCTTCCACTCCTCAAACTTCATCACCTCTTCTAAGATAATATCCCGAGCCTCCATTGCCCTCTGCAAGCGATCCTCTTTAGTAGCAGCCACAACTTCCTTCAAATCATCCACATTGTAAAGCTTCACGCCCTCGATTTCCGATACACATGGGCCCACATTGCGAGGAACCGATATATCAACGAACAGCTTCCGGCCCATGAACGTTTGGACATCATCCTTCGAAAAGATGAGTCTTTTAGAGGCAGTACATGTGAAAACAACATCTGATTCAGCTGCACACGGTAAAATGTCCGAAAAGGGCCTGTACTCGATCTCGATGTCTTTGAGCTCATTTCGTAGGGCGGCTACTTTTTCCTCGGTTCGATTGACGACGACTACTTTCCGGCATCCCTTGGCTGCCAAGTGTTTGATGACGAGTTTTCCCATTTTGCCGGCCCCCACGACGAGCATTTTTCTTGAATGTTCCGGAAGTTTGGACATGGCGAGCTCGACTGCGGCCGAGCTGACGGATACGGAGCCAGTGGAGATGCCGGTTTCGGTCCGAACACGTTTTCCCACGGTTATGGCGTGGTTGAAAAGCCCGTGGATCGTGCGTGCAAAGCCCGGGACGTTCTGCCCGGTTTTCACGACTTGCTTGACCTGAGAGAGGATTTGGCCTTCTCCCAAGACAAGGGAGTCGAGCCCGGAGGAGACCTCGAATAGATGTTGGGCGGCATCTTTGTTGAAGAGCAAGAATCTGTATTGGGATAGCTCTGTAACTGGAACCGAACTTATCTGTGGAAAAGAGAAAATATACGAGACTTTTATCAGTATTGAGGATCACACAATCATAAGATTCTTCACTCTGTTGGGGTAGAAAATTATATTACCTTAGACATCCATTCCATCACTTCCTTAACTCCACGGTTTCGAGATAGAGCCACAACATATATTTCCATCCTGTTACATGTGCTGAGAACAGCAGCTTCCTCTATATGATTCAGATCACATAGTTCACCAATTGCTTTAGGCCACTGTTCTTCCGGGATGGCGAGCTTCTCGCGTATCTCAATGGGTGTTGCATGGTAATTAAGCCCTATGACCACGATACTGCTACTTTCCTTCGTATAGCCTGGAAAAACGTACGAGTATCGTTTAGTTTAGAGCTTCATTCCAAGAGTTTTTCCGAGATCTCTCCCTCAACTCATATCATCAAATTACTCTCAAAATTTTGATAAAATTGTTTAAATAGTGTTCTTTTGTGCCCATCACAATCTGAACACAAGTAATCAGCTCTGAATATTTGAACAAGGCATCGGAATTACGAGCTACCTTACAATCTAATCAAAATTCAAAGACACATTATCAAATTGAATCTTCACAACCATTATTCTCCAACATCCAGAAAAAAATCAAATAATCAAATCCTTATTAGATCTCAGAAATTAACAAACCGAGCTAGTGGGCTTCAGAATTAAGCCGACAATTAAGCCAAAACCCATGTTCTGAAATCCATAATACATCTTACAAAATGAATCAAACGAAAGAAAAAGACGAAGCAAAACTCACGACTAGCAGCGGAGCTCTTGAGCATCTCCAAAGCCGACAGGCTCGACTTCTTGGACGAGACCTCCACGCTCGAATCAACCTTGCATATAGGGTTTAATCTGAACGAACGCGTCGCCGTCGCGGGCATCACCGCCGCCTTGTA